CGACAACTGTACCTGACCTTTTGTATGAGTGTAAAACTTGGTCCGTCACTCAGTAAATTAAAAAAAAGGTGCAGGATTAAGAAGGGAAAAGAAAATTACACAACAAGGAACTTCATAACGAAGAACGATGCAATAGCGATACACATTTAGAGAAAACAAAAAATGAATTTTTAATTTTGGTGAGAAGACCTCAAAATAAGCGAAAATTTGCAAGACCCCAAGGTTCTCGATATCGGTAAAGCAGTTGTCTGCCAAAAACACAAAGCAGTGAACACTCAAAATTTTTCACTTTAAAGCTTACCGAGGCTTTCTTCAGAAAATAAAGAGAGATGCGTTTTGAGGAATATTCGATTTTCATATTAATTTGTCTTTACTCTTATTATTACACGATAAAACATTTTAAACTGCAAAGGTAAGAATATCTAATGAGCGTACGTGTCGAAACAAAAGTTTGCGTCTCTATACATAGGATGTAGGAGCCCCCCCCCCCCCCCGGGGTCTGTGCAGTGCGTGTTCCATATGTCACAATCTATTGTTCGCCAGTTCATGGTTCAAGTTCCACGCCCTAGTTCCGGTGTGGATACACTCCACTTCGCTGAGGGGTACACAAACACACGCAGCGCGAAGGTGGTAGTCCTCTCGATCGTGACGTAGTGCGGACTTGCAGCATCGTTCCGGAGGTCCAGAACACCACCACAGACATTTTCACAGCTGTGAGATCCTCAAAACTCAAAAATCAAAATAAGTCGATAAAAAAAAATTACCTTCAAGTATGCAGGACAAGCGAAAATTTCGAAAACTGCGAAGAAGTTGCTCGCTATCGACTTCCAGCAGCGAGAAATTGTCGGGGACAATACATATTTGGCGTTATGAACCATGCACAGACGCAGGTAGCTTACTGTAGAGAATGATGTCCTTGAACCGGGCAGTCTTTTCGTCAGGACACGTTGCCTCCGCGGCCTCTTCATTCGTGTAACACTTGTCCAGGCTCTCCGTGCGCACCTGAAGCACATTTCTTGATCTTAGCGTGATGTGGAAGCAGCGACTGCAGTTTGGCCCCCACGAACTGCAAACAAATGCAGTCTGTGACGATGGTCTTCTGGGTTGTGACGCCGTAGATACCAACGATTCCGAGAAACATCTCCATCCAGAGAGCTGTCCTCAAGATGGACGAGGGACGTTTCTCCGAAACGTTGGTATCCATCTACAAGTCCACACGGCGTCACAGTCCAGACAAATAAAATAGATATCTTCAATCCTGCTGCAAGAACCTCAATTCTCAAATTCGTTTTAATCAGATGTATATAAGTAGAGAAGCCACGGTGGTCTAGCGATTAGAACGCTGGCCTCGGGTTCGATTCCCGGCGGTGCCCGAATTTATAACTTGTGTTGGGCAAGGCCGTGGTCTAGGCAACACGGAGTTTTCCTCCGGGGGCTTCCCCGGTTTCTCCGTGGCATCCCAACAATTACACAGAAGAAGGCAATGGCAAACCACTTCTGGATCATCTGCCAAGAACGTATATGAACAGGTCCCAGTCCGAGAAAAGGATGGAAGGATCCTGTTCATATGGACCTGTCGTCAGACAGAACACTAAATAAATAAAATATAAGTAGACCTACGCATTCTTCTCAGAAGTTATTATATGATGATTCATACATCTACAACTGTTCCTGTCATGATTTTCATTGACCTAGTAACAAAAATCCGAGGACTTCTTCCGAACAGACTCTAGATGTGTTACAGTTAACTCAGTAAAGACGAGAGCGTCCTTCATAAAGTCTACGTATTTTTGGAACAGACGCAGAAACTACGTGGAGCACAAATTTTATGAGAAGTTACAGTAGCCAAGAACAGAAAAAAAAATTCCCGCCTTTCACAAAGCCCGAATGTTTATCTCCGTGTCCATAAGAGCTCACCACCGGTCGCCAAACCGATTCAGTCCACACCTCCACACGCCAGTCCTCAGAGATCAATTGTAATATTATCCTGCTATCTTTGCTTAGGTCTTCTCAGTGGTCTCTTTCATTGAGGTTGTCCAACCAAAATTTTGCATAAATATCTCACCTCCTACATGTGTGCCACATTCCCAATCACACAAGTTACGTGTCTAGAGAAAACAGGTACAGGTTTCGTTTAGTGACAAGAGTCTAAAGTATTGGTTTATCAAAAATGTCAATATCAAACAAACAAACATACAAATATTTTTCACTAAAGTCTACATTTAGAGCTTCGAAAATATGTACGTGTAGGCTTGCATCATAACAGACCGTGAGAAGAAATGCATTGTGGTCAAAGAAAGAGATAAAGACCCTCGTACTTATGGCGGGGATGTACCGGTTCATGCTAACGGAATACACAAATTGCGTTAACAGCACCCGCGACTAGAAGTATCTCATGCATATTTTATCATATTACTCAAATACCGTTCATAATATCCAAACAATGCATTCTATTATGAACGGTCCCCGGATCTAAGAAGTATCTCTCTTATCAACTGCATACAAAATTTAATTCAAGATCAAATCCATACTTTGACAAAATTATTGGGGATCAGTTTGAACTTCTGTTACTTATCACATCTTCTGCAGTCGTCAGATACTGGCGAAAATGTCCACTAAAAGAGGCAGACTTCAACAAATCCCGTGAATCGAAACAGAAATATTATTAGCCAATTACAAAATATACAGTATAAAAGATGACGCGATGATCTTCTGGGTTGTGACGCCGTGTTAACTAATTATATTTATTTAGTGTTCTGTCTGACGACAGGTCCATATGAACAGGATCCTTCCATCCTTTTCTCGGACTGGGACCTGTTCATATACGTTCTTGGCAGATGATCCAGAAGTGGTTTGCCATTGCCTTCTTCTGTGTGTGAATGGAGTAATTGTTGGGATGCCCCGGAGGAAAACTCCGTGTTGCCTAGACCACGGCCTTGCCCAGCACAAGTTACAAATTCGGGCACCGCCGGGAATCGAACCCGAGACCCCAGGATTATCAATCTTCAGGCCTGGAGATGTTTGATGTTTCCCCCCCCGAAACATTGGTAACTACCTACGAGTCTACACGGCGTCATAACACAGAAGGTCGTCATCATCCTCACCGCTGAGAGAACCTCAAATTTCTCACAAGTCTGGCGCATTCCTTGTTCAGAATTGTCTAATATAAGACTGCTTTATCATCACTTTGATACAAACCATGGGAAGGTCAAACTAAAATGAATATTACAATCGAATGTGCCATGTCAGACGTCAACGACGCCGACCATCTGAATTAATTCCTGAACAACACTACGTTAGTCCAGAAATAAACAGGACAGAGTCGTGATACATCTTTCGAAAAGTGTGGCAGAATGGAAATATTTCGGGACAACAGTAATATAATAAAATTTTCATTAATAAAGAAATTACAAGAAGACTGAATTTGGGCGATGTTTCCTTCCAATCATTTCAGGATCATTTCTGCCCCCGTCTCCTGTTTAAAAATGTACATATTAAAACATTTTTTTAAAAAAAAAACACGTAACTTTACATTTTACCAGTTGTTTCATATGGTTGTAAAAGTTTGGTCCTGACATTGACGGAGGAACATAGATTTTATGTATCTGAGAACATGGCACAGAGATGAATATATGGATCTATGAGAGAGAAAGTGACAGAACGCTGGAGAAAGTACACAATGAGGAACTTCGCTTAGTTGTTATTAGGGTTAAAAGATGGAGAAAGCACGTGGCCCGCATGGGATCAGACCGCTCGAGACACGAAATTAATGACTGGAGGGTAATATCCAAATTAATTTTAAAGGAATAGTGCGAGGAGGAGATGATGATGACTGACTTCGTGTAGCTTCTTATAAGGTCCAGTGGCAGGATGCTGTAAAGACGAGATCTAATTGCGGGTTCTGTAAAAGGCGAAAAATTTGTTACATTTTCAAATAGCACTGTACTCCGTTGGAGTACGCTGGCTGTTCATACGCGGCGAAAATGTCTTGTGGTTCACGTTCTCTGCAAATTGCCTCGAGGTGAATACCTCCCTTTTCTCGTTTACTATTTCCCACACAGAAGGTAAAATGGTTTTCTCCGGTTTATTGTAAAGCTGCAGTTTCTCACTCGTAAGGACACGAGAGAAACCAAACAATGCCATGTTAGGTACAATACCCACGAATATACATTATCGCAATTCTCATCAGAATAGGAGAAGAAAAAATATATCGTGGCTTCCGGAATGCCTGAAAAGGCCTTCAGTCCCAAAGAGGAAGCTTCACTGTCCGTCTCATCAATTAGCCGAATTTTATGACAATCGGTACGAAGGTCACCCTGACGTCATATCTTTCAAATTCAGCCCTGTGGCACGGCTGCCGTGGGGGTAACCACTTGAAACTCAGTGGTAACTATGTGTACCGCTTTCTTCAACAATCTCTAACTCTGAATTTAGTCCAAACAATGTATTTATGGAGTTTGTATAATTCTCTGAGTAAACAGCGAAGAATTCCTTAAACAAGCATTAACAAACTGATCTCTGTAATGGAGAACTGCCAATTTCCTTTGAAGTCTTTTAGCCGAAGAAGCTGATGGTTTCCTCGCACGTTACATAAAAAAAAACTATCACGACCATCAATCGGAATCTCCCAGCCCCGTCCAAATTCATTCTGCAGAAGTTCCTATTATGGCTCTGGCTCGCCTGTACTTGGATTATGGTCTTTCAACGCCGTGAAGTTACTTCCACCTTGACGATAAAGGCAAATGTCTTCCAAACGTTGGTAACCGCCTACAAGACTACAACCACGGCCAAAAATTTGAAATGTCACATACCGACTACATCGAAACTACTCGGATGGAGGTTAAGGTTAAGAACAAAAGAAGCAGGCAGTTGCGCTACGTCGCCAATGGTTCAACGTCTTCTGCCTCGCGGCCTTGTTCCTTGGCGCCTACCCAAGTATGAGAAAAACGCAGTTCCTTAAGCGTCTCTCCCAGGAGCGCGTGGCCTTTCAGACGTACGGAAAGCAATTACCTGTCTGTGAGGATGACGCTGTTACCCAGGCGACGGTGACAGTGGCCCCAAATGGGGAGGATCGCGTCAGCGGTGATGTTCATCTCGGAATACTGCACTTGTCCGCCCGGAGTCGCGGAGGTCGATTGCATCGCATACTCTCCTTGTAGCTCGATGGGGAAGTAGCACGAAGCAGCACCTGAAACAGACGAACGCACGTCCCTCCGACACTTTCCTTTTTAGCAGAAGAGACCAGCCGACTGTTTGGAACTATGAAAACAGGAACCAGTTCCGGCCGTAAGGGTGAATTTTTTTTTTTTTTTTTTTTTTTTTTAGTGTTCTGTCTAGGTGTTTGAGAATCGGGTGTTGAGGAGGATATTTGGGCCTAAGAGGGAAGACGATGGGGCGTGGAGAAAACTCAACAATGACGAGCTTAAAAATCTGTACTGCTCCCCCAGTATTGTGAGGGTGATTAAGTCGAGAAGAGTGAGATGGGCGGGTCATGTAGCGCGCATGGATGGGACAAGAGATGTTCACCGGGTATTCGTTGGAGAGACTGAGGGGAAGAGACCGCTGGGAAGACCTAGACGTAGATGGGAGGATAATCTCAGGCGGGATCTATGGGAGATAGGAGTTGAAGGAGACTGGATTTTGTTGGTCCAGGACAGGGTCCGGTGGAGGGCTTTGGTTAATTCGGTGATGAACCTTCGGGTTCCGTAAGCCATCTGGTTGGTTAGGTCCACTATAATGGGGAGCCTGAGGGGAAGAGACCTCTGGGGAGACCTAGACGTAGATGGGAGGATAATCTCAGGCGGGATCTATGGGAGATAGGAGTTGAAGGAGACTGGATTTTGTTGGCCCAGGACAGGGTCCGGTGGAGGGCTTTGGTTAATTCGGTGATGAATTTGAACGCCGTCAGGACCAAACAGTCAGGCTAATCTGATCTGGCCGTCTTCTTGGGTTGTTCCGCCGTGTAGTCTGATGGAAGTATCGTGGATGCGGAATATGACAAGCAGAGAAATGGGGAGAAAGTGCGTGGATTAGATTCGTATGACTCTGAGTAAGTGTCGGTGGTGAAAATGGTAATAAACCTTTGGACTCCATACAAGACGGGGAAATCTCTTGACTAGCTGACCGTATTATTAATTCCTCGAGAGGGCGTATGAACAACAACGTCGTCATCCTCACTGCCATGAGAACCTCAAATTTCAATCAGTATTACGCGACTACATTTTAACACCAGTTAATTTCTTACCAGTTCTTATCCGGAAATATTAATCGCGTGTATATTTTTCGCCGATTTAAATGTTCTGTCTGTTCTTGCGTTAATACGTACACTTTAGGTAGCCTAGAGCAGTGGTATTCAACCTTTTTTGTTCGCGTACCCCCAGATATAATTTCTCTTCAACTTTGTACCCCCAAAGCTGTTGGTGTATAATTAAAGTTATACATAGTATATAATCTACATCTAAAATAAATTAAATTAATTACATTACTGATTATTCAGTGTTTATCATAAAATAATTTTTTTTTTAAATTTCACGTACCCCCTAAGATGTCTTCGCGTACCCGCAGATATAATTTCTCTTCAACTTTGTACCCCCAAAGCTGTTGGTGTATAATTAAAGTTATACATAGTATATAATCTACATCTAAAATAAATTAAATTAATTACATTACTGATTATTCAGTGTTTATCATAAAATAATTTTTTTTTTAAATTTCACGTACCCCCTAAGATGTCTTCGCGTACCCGCAGATATAATTTCTCTTCAACTTTGTACCCCCAAAGCTGTTGGTGTATAATTAAAGTTATACATAGTATATAATCTACATCTAAAATAAATTAAATTAATTACATTACTGATTATTCAGTGTTTATCATAAAATAATTTTTTTTTTAAATTTCACGTACCCCCTAAGATGTCTTCGCGTACCCGCAGATATAATTTCTCTTCAACTTTGTACCCCCAAAGCTGTTGGTGTATAATTAAAGTTATACATAGTATATAATCTACATCTAAAATAAATTAAATTAATTACATTACTGATTATTCAGTGTTTATCATAAAATAATTTTTTTTTTAAATTTCACGTACCCCCTAAGATGTCTTCGCGTACCCGCAGATATAATTTCTCTTCAACTTTGTACCCCCAAAGCTGTTGGTGTATAATTAAAGTTATACATAGTATATAATCTACATCTAAAATAAATTAAATTAATTACATTACTGATTATTCAGTGTTTATCATAAAATAATTTTTTTTTTAAATTTCACGTACCCCCTAAGATGTCTTCGCGTACCCGCAGATATAATTTCTCTTCAACTTTGTACCCCCAAAGCTGTTGGTGTATAATTAAAGTTATACATAGTATATAATCTACATCTAAAATAAATTAAATTAATTACATTACTGATTATTCAGTGTTTATCATAAAATAATTTTTTTTTTAAATTTCACGTACCCCCTAAGATGTCTTCGCGTACCCGCAGATATAATTTCTCTTCAACTTTGTACCCCCAAAGCTGTTGGTGTATAATTAAAGTTATACATAGTATATAATCTACATCTAAAATAAATTAAATTAATTACATTACTGATTATTCAGTGTTTATCATAAAATAATATATTTTTTTAAAATTTCACGTACCCCCAAAGATGTCTTCGCGTCCCCCAGGTTGAATACCACTGGCCTAGTGTGTCAAATTGAAACGGAGTTGCACTTGCAAATGTTCACTTTGCAATTCTAACAACGATGAAAAGAACAAATTGAGATATCACGACTGTGAAGACGTCGATGTTGTTCTTTTGGGTTACGACGCGGTGTGGACTCGTAGGCAGATACCAACATTTCGGAAGAACATACTGCCTCCTCCTTCTTCACATTAATGAGTGTATGCACTGCAGAGTCCCAACTCTTGAACATACATCGTGCCCTGTCCGGAATTCAAACCGGACACCTCCAGAATACTTAACAGCGCTTGTAACAGACGACTCACGAAGGTTTAAGCAGCTTTGTTATTTGGTTCATGTAAATGGAGATGGGGGAGGTGGACATTTTTGTTTTTATGGAAACAGACCACGGACGCATGTTTTTATGAGGTACGAGGTGGATAAGAGCTGACCTTCGGTTGAAGAGGGAACACAAGATGGAGAGAAGGTTTATAATTACACGAATCTGTCAACCATGACCACGTCTTGTTTTGTGCCGTGTCTCCGGAGCGCATACCACTACGTCCCGTTCCGGACGGCAGTTTTTGGTTGGATGGATGCAACGGAGGCTATTTAACGTCAATGTATCAACTGTAGCTGTTACATAGCGCCGAATGGTATGAGATCCCTTTCGGTGAAAGGATCTGCCTATTTAACTGTCGCTGTTCCAAGCTACATAAATTCAATCCACAGAATCCAGCCCTATTCCCCTATTATCCACTTTAATAGGCTCGTAATATACATTTCTGCACACCACTGATTTCCTTGACACGTGACAGCACTTCCTTTCACCAGAGATCGAAAATAATAATACAAATAAAATAATCTTTATAATCCCTGAAGCAAAATTATGGCTCGTTTATACAGCAAAGTGAGTGATGCAGGAAGTTGTCGCAGGGGCGAGGCGCGAGGCCAGCCTGTGGTATCGTTTCTTCAATTTCCGCCACTTACATCTCATCAGCGATTAGCGATATCCTGGAGTCGGGCACGACACACGTTCGTCTATATTAAATGTTATTAAAGGAATGAAAAATGACTGTCAGTGACAGCGGTCTCCCGTCTCGGGGAGCGCACAGTACTGAACAGTTCGGTGAGTGCGGTCTAGGTTAAAACGCTCCTCCGAACATGGACGTATATCTGTATATTACTTCTCTGTTCAGAACAATTTGGAAGTTCTGGCTTGTAGAGCCATTTTTTTATTTAGTGTTCTGTCTGAAGAGGACAGGTCCATATGAACAGGATCCTTCCATCCTCTTCTCGGACTGGGACCTGTTCATATACGTTCTTGGCAGATGATTCAGAAGTGGTTTGCCATTGCCTTCTTCTGTGTGTGAATGGAGTAATTGTTGGGATGCCACGGAGAAACCGGGGAGGCCCCCTGGAGGAAACCTCCGTGTTGCCTAGACCACGGCCTTGCCCAACACAAGTTATAAATTCGGGCACCGCCGGGAATCGAACCCGAGGCCAGCGTTCTAACCGCTAGACCACCGTGGCTGCATGTAGTCTGGTAAATCTGCCGATGCTTCTGAAACGTCGGTAAACATCTCCCAGACTATACGGCGCTACAACTCAGAAGATATCCATCATCATACTCGACTCCGTGAGAACTACAAATCCCACTTGAAAGTTTCTTGTCTTCAGTTCATGTGTACTGGAGGAAACTCGAAAGCCGTTGCATCTGGTGCCCACGGAGAGGATCCAACTGGTTTATGTACCACAGTTTTCGTGACAATATTGGATCTCGATTTGTAATGCGCACAAGAATTAGGAATGAATCGATCGGATTTCAGATTTTAGATTAGGTATAATTCAATTTTAAATTTTAAATTTTTAGACGTGGTCTGTGAAAATCGCGTCAGGGGGAGTGAGGAGAAAAGTAGTGCGTGTTAAAATTTTAGATGCAGTGGGTTAGCCGAGTAATTTAGTCACAACTGAACTAACCCACACACCCATTAGGATCATTACTTCTGACAACGGGCTCTTCCATTTTTACGGTACATCGCGTTTACAGGGGCTATGACTTTTTAACTGATCTGAAGTAGACATCGTATGGCAGATCAAGCCAAGAGGAAACTCTGGATTCTCAGTCTTTTTTCAAACATAAGTACATTTTTACTCTCTCATAACCACCCAAGGACCGCAAGGTTACAAATGAGTACAATTGACTGAAACGTCATGTTCTTCATAATCTCGGACTAAAATATTTGTAAACCGAGACTGTCTTTTCTAAACACACTGTATTAAATCAAGGATTTGTCCAAAACAGACACAAATTGGAATTCGTGCAGTCCCGCAGTAGGTTATTACAAAAACCACTGCTCTAAAATATCAGACACACCGCAGATTCGCGAAAGACACTTTTCTACGACTCACGTCCTCAAAGAAACCCAAAACTACTACTTTGTTAATACTTCTTTATTTTGAACAGAGGACGTAATTCTTCTGTACTTGCGTAAGAAATGTCACAGAGACTATGCAAACGCC